CCCGCCGATGGCCCCCACATATCACGCTCTCCTTCCTCCACCGAACCAGGATTCCTGACAGAAGTCAAGTGAGACCAGCTACGACCAGGAGCTTGTCACAGCTCCCTCGGCACGGCCCCCTAACACCCGAGTGTTCTTCCCTGCTCCGCCATGGTCACGCAAGCGTCAAGTTTTGGCGGTTGAGACAGACAGATTTGTAGGCCCCCTTAGCGAGCCCCCAACGCCCGAACGCCGCCACTGAGGCGGCGAGTTGAATTGGTTGGGCTTAAAGAATTAGCCCTAAAACCTGGCCATTATCCTCCCTTCCAAGACGACACCTTTGTATCCAACATGTTCCATCTATCCCGGCGAACGGTCCTGTGGGTCCTATGGTGGCAAAGATGCATACTAACTTTAGACCAAGTCCGGGTAGAGGGAGAGGAAAGGATGGAACAATTCAAGACACACTTCCAACTGGAGCTCTCGCACAGGTGGAACTCAATAAAACAAACGTTAGATAATCTTCATAGCCGCAAAGATATCCGGGCACGTCTACAATAGTTTTCCAAGGAATGGTTGGGTGGAGACCGAGAGGGGTGGGTTTCGGGACCGGGGGTTGGAGTGAGGAGGAAGGGGGGGAGGACAACCACGGAGAGGAAGTGCCAAGGGACTACAGATTGAGATTCAAGGATTGGCTGTCAATAGATCCCAGTACCCCTATGAGACCTGCAGATGAATTCCCGGACCCATTCCCCCCCCACCCACAGTCCCTGGAAGCATACCTGTAACCCATGCCTCTCCTGCCCTTCCACAAAAAACCGGTTAATCCACACCTCATCAGACGCAGCAAAGGGGGATGGCAGAAGAGTGGCCGAGGAGGGGTGAACGGAAAGAACCACTGGTGCCCCCCAGCGGTTCTTCCTGAATCCTGCCCCTAACACAAAAAGGAAAAGGAAAAGGAAAATTCAGCAGCAGAAAAACGGCCTACTACAGGGTGAAGTGGACCATCAGGATTTCAGGGGGAAACTAGTTCTTCAGCAGCAGAAATTCGGCGCCAGGAACAGGGCGAAGAGGTTTTCTCCCAGCAGCTCAACATCTTGTGCAGATGGTCTTCCGACGTCAGCTTTCAGCTTAGTTATATTCTGATACAACCAGCTCAGTGGCAGGTCTTCTTCAATCTTTGCAACTTTTCCCAATGGCTTCCTCAGTCAATCCCCTGGTTTCCAGGGTAATCAATGCTGGCAAGGATCTTCCACATTGTTTTCCTGATCATACTCTGTAGCGGTGGCTGCTCTTATCAATGCTGGCAAGGATCTTCCACATGGGACGCTGGCCCCCCTTTCCAGCAGGTGATGCTCCCCACCAATAGATGGAGCCTCCTCCCGTATGGTAGCGGTGGCTGCTCTTATCAGCACCACTATCACCGGGGGGGTGTTTAAAAAAAAAAAAAAAAAAAAAAAGCCCTCGTGTGAGTATGCCCTAAGTAAGAAATCCCACAGGTTACTCACCTCGTTGGTGGTGATTTCTGCATACACACATGAACGTAGGGCCTCGCTCCATAACACACAACACTGAACGTAGGGCCTCGCTCCATAACACACAACACTCCACATGTATCCCGTGCTCATAATCGTCCAGATTCGTTCTAAATGTTCCACTCCTCCCAACGCACCCGGTCCAGAAAGGTGTCCCAATGCATGTAGAGTTTTGACCACTGAACCGAGGCGCATATACGCGCACACATGAGCACACGAATGCACAGAGAAACGTGCACACACCCGCGCACCCGCGCACACACACCGCACACACACACGCACACACCCGCACACACACTCGCGCACACACGGCGCACACACCCGCACCCACACAACCGCGCGCACACCCGCACACGCTCAACCGCCCACGCACTCGCCGCACTCACACTGGCACTGTGCGCGCACGTCCGTACTTTACGGCGGACCGATGGCAGGAACAGGCGGGTATAGCTGGCCGATGTGAAACCTGTTGTGTCTTTTACCCACCGCTACGCGCCGTTGAGGTTCTCTCTCCCATTCCAAGAGGCTGACGGACATACCAACTGCACGGAGAGCAACGGCGAGTAACGGGGGGTAACGGGGGTTAACGGTACGGGCGCGGTGAGAGAGGTACGAAGGTATGTGTACGGAAATGAAGAGAGCAAGAGCGGTGGGATCGGGATCGGAATCGGAATCGGGATCGGGACGGAGATGTTGAGAATGAGGTTCGCCCATGCAAGCGGCGAAGGAAAGAACGTAAGCCGGGTGATGCTCCTGGCCCCTTCGAAAAGAACAAAAAAGAAAAAAAAAGAGAAAAAGAAACCTTACGTCGGGATTGCAGTACAGAGGGCGAAGGTTGAAGAGTGGGACTGTACACCTGGTTTATATGATCGGGATCGGGACGGAGACGTTGAGAATGAGGGTTTGAGTGAACGATCAGTCGAGGTGCGGGAGGAGGAGGTGCGTAGTCTACCCACCAATCATTCCTTCTTCTTTTTCTTTTTTTTTCGATTTTTTGGAAAACATCAGTCCAACTGTTGGACTTTCAATCATCCCGGTGCCGCATGTAAAGGCGATGATTTTTTTTTAATTTTTTTTTTCTATAAAAGCCGAGGATTGTTTTTTTTTTTTTTTTTTTTTTKCCCCAATCTATCCGAATGTCGGACTCTCATCAGGCTGCTGCCGCATGTAAGGCCGAGGATTTTGGGTCTGCTTCTTKCTTAGGACCATCAAAAAAAAAAAAAAAAAAAAAAAAAAAAAGAATGAAAGGAAGGACCATCCTCAGTATGGATCATGCATGAATGATTGATCATTTTAATTCCCACGTGGCTAATTTTAGTTGTCGTTGCAATTATTTCTTTTTCCGCTTTACAAGCGGAAGGTCGCCACGTCGATCGTCCCGACCCCAACCCCCTGGATGTATGATTCGAATCATGTCATGCATGTATGATGATCATTTTCATTGCCACGTGGCTAATTATAGTTGTTGTGGCGATGATTACAGTTCCGCTTTGCGACAGCAAGGTCGCGAGTTCGATTCTCCAACCGCCACACTGGTCTGCAGTTTCCTCCATAACTGATAACTGTCCCCTGTGCAGTGTCCTCGAAGGAAGAGGAGGAGGAGGAGGAGGAGGAGGTTTTATAACTTTTCCTACTTTGGATTTGATGTCTGATCTTGTGGATTATCTTTTGTCGGTTCCAGGTCAGTACCACTCTGCCGCCACGTGGCAGGGAATGTTGGACGGATAGTTATTCTTCTGTAAAATAAAACAAGATCCGCTGTGTTCTTTTGAGAGAGAATCAGGCAAGGAATTGCGTAGAAATGGCCCAGATCAGACTGTCATAGCCATGTTATTCAGAAAAGAAAAGGGCACCATCTCTTTTTTTTTTTTTTTTTTTTTTTTTTTTTTTTTTTTTTCCCTTGGCCGTCATTTTTTACTCCACCCCGCTATTGACAGAAAAGAGCAGAAATGCAAAGGGTGACGTCTGGCGCAAAAAAAATAAAAATAAAAAAATAAAAAAAAATTACGAAGTCGTTTCCCAGATGGTTGTATGTGGGAATCGTCATCCGGGACGGGTTCTTTTGGGTACTTTTTTTTATTTCTTTGCAGACAAGAATGTTTTGACATCCTGGTTGGTCTTGTCCCGTCGTTTGGCCTGTGGGCAGGGTCGGTGCTTGCATGTGGGACTTGTCATCTGGGATCTGTTTTGTTGCCCCCTGTTCTGTTTTATTTGGCTGTTCCCTTCCTCTCTTCTTTGCATGTTTGCCTTTTGGCTGTGTGCAAGTGGGTCGATATATGACACACGGGGGTGCGGGCAGCCGCCGCTCAACCTACATCCACGTGCGCGGCCTTGTACGCAAGAGGTTCTGAACAGGGGGAGTTTAAGGAAGAAGATTAAAAACGAATTTAAGTTTTTTTTGTTTTCCTTGGTTTCTTTCTGTTTTTCGCTTTGGCGCTCTGATATCGTGTGACAGTATATAGAATCGATCAGGTAAAGAACCACTAGCGCAGAGAATTGGATTGAACGCCTGAATGCTTTTCTGCATCTCAGATTCAAGAGCTTACTAGTGGGACCTCGCCCCAGGTAAGGAACCACGTGACTCAAGCAGCCCAGATTAAATTGTCATTTATTTATTTTGTGTGTTTCTGTCTTGGGGGCCGGGGTGGGGGAGGTGGGGGAGGGGGGGGGGGGAGGAGGGGGGGGGGGGGGGGGGAGGAAGGCGGCGCGGCTTGCCTGTGAGCGTCCCTTCACGCGCGTTTGGGGCGTCCGTTAACTTGAGTGCGTGCGCGCGCGTGCGCACACACACACGCACACACACACACACACACACACGCACGCACACACACACACACACACACACACACACACACACACAGAAGAGGAAGTATTATGGATCATGGATAATGGAGATAGCCGGGCCAGCAGGTATGCGTATGTAGCCAGAGGGAAACGTTGCCATAACATATCCTTGAAAATTGCGTCGGAATTTCTTGACGCGCATTCAGTGCCTGAACGTTCTTCAACCACTTCACGCGTGCGAATGTGCACCTCCCCCTTCTCCTCCTCCTCTCCTTCTTCTTTTCTCTGTCTGTGTTTGTGTGTGTGTGTGTGTGTGTGTGTGTGTGGACATGCACCCGTTAGCGCGACGCACGTCAATGTTGCATGGTTGTGAGAAAGATTATCTTTCCGAAAAACATCGATCTTAGTGAACTGTACTCTAAACAGTTTTCGGGCAATCGACCTGATGGCATATGCATATGTATGAGTCAGTGAAACTCCGACGAAGAAAACAGCCTGTCACAGCGCAGAAACGAGAGGCTGCAACAGACTGTTTCAGCCCAGATTCACTGAGGAGGAAAGATCATGCTTCTGACAACCGTGCAACATAGGGTGCATGTGCGCTTCCACACACACACACACACACACACAGACGCACACACACACACACACACACACACACACGCATACATGTCAAAGAAGAAGAAGGAGAGGAGGGCCACGAAGCGGAGGAGGAGGAGGAGAAGGAGAAGGGGGATCGCATATTCACATGCGTGATATGTATGTCGTCAAACAGAACTGCCCGGTAAACAGTAGGCATTGAGGGAGAAGAGGACGAGGGGCTGTGTCAAAGTGTTTCGTGGGAGTTTCACCCACTCATCAGGAGGCTGAAATATACATTGACGATACTGTATGGTTCCGTTATTTACTATGGAAATGGTAGAATCTGTTTTGGTGGTGATTTTGGAACCCTTGTCTGCATCCCGGTTGGTTTAGTCCCGTTGTTTGGCTTACGGCAGGGTGTCTGTGGCGGTGATTTCATGTGGGACTTGTCAGCCGGGTTTTTTCTTATCTTCTTGGCATGCTAGGTGGTTGTTTCCCGTTGTTCGGCCTGTGCGCAGGGGGCGGTGCTTTTTTGTGGAATCGACATCTAGGATTGTCTTTTATGTTTTTTTTTTTTTTTTTTTTTTTTTTTTGCTGTTGGTGGTGTCCCAGTAATTTGGTTTAGACCAGCGAAGCAGTGACTTGACAGTTTAAATAGATACCAATTTTTGCAACAACAACAACAAAATAACAATCGCAAAGGAATCTTGGAGCTGGCGCATACGAAAGGTATGGTACCAGGGGATTGTTTGTTTGCAGGCAAGGGTGTTTTTGAATCCTGGTTGGTCTTGTCCCATTGTTTGGCCCTGATGGTGGGGGCAGTGCTTGCATGCGGGACTTGTCATCTAGGATTGGTTGATGTTTGTTTCCCCCTGTTTTGTTAGATTTGGCCTCTTTGCCTTTTGGCTGTGTGCAAGTGGGTGGATATGACACAGGGGGGGGGGCAGCCGCCGCTCAACCTGCATCCACGTGGGCGGCCTTGTACACAAGAGGCTCTGAACAGGGGGAGTTGTAAGGAAGAAGATTAAAAACGAATTAAGTTTTTCTTGTTTTCCTTGTTTTCTTTTTGTTTTCCGCTTTGGCGCTCTGATATCATGTGGTAATATATATTGTCACATGATATCAGAGCCCCAAAGCGAAAAACAGAAAGAAAACAAGGAAAACAAGTGAGTAAATGGTAGGCCCTAAGGTAGGAAACTCCAGATGGGTCCAGCAGTCATAGAGTCAGTCTTTTCGCCCGCAGCGCGACCACGACAGCAGATCACACACATCCACAGGCTTAGGCTTGGACCCCACTGGCCAGCGGCTGGAAAAGTTCTGGCCTGGAAGGCCGATTTCGGTCCCCACTTGGCCGCCAGGAAGTACTTTTGAGGTATGCCAACGACGGTTGCAGACCCCACTGCCATTCTGGAAACATCGTTGGCCGTGTTTCTACGTGGGTGGCGGCTGGAAAAGTCTCCGCCAGAAACCGGCAGTCCTTTTCCAAAACGGCCTCCATCAGGGTAGGGAGGGCAAAGTGCCAACCGTTGACATTGGGGCCGGCAAGGTGTGGCGCAGTTGATGGCCGTCGCGGGCTTCAGGTTGGACAAGGCCGAAACGCACCCAGTCCGCTTGAAGTGCTGGTTGCATGAATCGTCCAAATGGGCCGTAGGTCCATGCAGGCCATCCGTACTTTCCTTTTCAAGAGGGGCCCCTCTTGGGTTTCCTAATGCGGCAAGGCTGGCCTTTTCCAAAGCCCCGCCAGAAGTCGGCGGTGGGGTCGCGTCGAAACGTGCCCATTCCTTTCCACGGATGTTAGGCAGCTTTTTGCGGCCAAGTGCCTTTTCCAGCTGCCGGCCAGTGGGGTCCAAGCCTCAGAATCTGTTTCTGGAAGCCTCCACCGCCAACTATCGTCTTCTCCTCAATTCTGGTTGACAATGTATCTGGACTTACAGTTCCCCCAGTTACAACCATCATGACCGGGCATTCTGTTTGGGTGAAGACGGTAGGTCAAGGCACGCTCATGCTGAGGAGAAGACGTGAACCACTCAGATAGAGAAACAGTTCCGCCAGACTGAGTTACAACTATCATGAATGAAAGTTGTGTTTGTATCTAGACTGAAAGTTCCCCCAGTTACAACTATCATGACCAGGTACATCTGTTTGGGTTGCTGGTGGGATCAGACTTTCTGTACCACAACCAGCCTGTCATCCTAACTCCCCAACACCTCACCTTTGGCACAATCAACTCCCTCTCATCCTCACCATCTCAGGCCCTAGGAACCCCCAGCAGGAGGACAAAAAAACTTCACCATCATCCGCAGTGAGGGACTGCTCCGCAGGCTGGAGACTTATCTCTGTACCCTGGCCCTCAGTTTACAGTCATTCAGCGATCTTCATACTTCTTGCGTTTATCAGCCCATTGGATCCTGAAGTGAGCCCCACCTCGCACTACTACATTATACCGCTGTGCCACTTTTTGTACCCACTAGTACTACGCTGATCTCTGCCTTCTTCAACCGCATACAATGTACAGGAATTGTAGCTGTACATGGGGTACCTTTCATTCGAAATACAGCCATATTGCCGGACATTGTATTGGGGTGAAGAAGGTAGGACCTAATCTTCGAAGAGGGCACGGAGATACCACAGCCACTACAGGCATTATCTATCATGACTGTTCATCTGCACCAGTTGGGGTCTTTCACACCCAATATCACCCATCGTTACCCCTGTTATATTATGTCATTTCTTATGCCAGTCCATGTTGTTTAGGAGTCAAGAGAGATTGACTTGGAGAGACTCAGTGACATTGTGCCTCGTTTATCAGCGGAGGAGTTGCGAGAGAAATCCATAGCCAATATATGGAGGATTCATGGAGGATGGAGGTGGCGAGAGAGAAGTCATTGTGCCGAGGAGGACGAAAAGGAGATGGAACATGAATATTGAGATCAATAACATTGCTTAATTTCATTTTTCAATTTTAAATTTATAAGACGATATTTCCATGTTCACGCTGTTCTTCTTCACATAGTCTTGTGTTTGGTTGCTAACTTGCTACCATCTCACCTGAATAGAACGCCCGGGCATTATCACGGTATCTAGACTAAAAATGTACCAAGTACAGCTATAAAAGCTCAATTTTTTCATATGGTTATCCTACCCCTTAAGCAGCATTGGCCGTGGGGGGAGGTCGATGGTCCACTGCGCACCGGAATCGGGCAGAAGTTTTGGTGAGGGCCAGCGGATGATGGGGATCGATGGCGGGGGGGCGTGCAGAGAGGCGCGCGTACCGAATTGTTCACAGCGCGCCATTAAACGTGAGAGCGCGCCCCCGGG